AATAATCAAATTGTCTAATTAATAAATCCGTATTCTAGAATATGATAATGGTTTAGATGATAAAAGTGATGTCGAATCGTGGCTATAACTTAATGATGTTTGTTGATTCGTACGTAATATATTTCAATAGATTTTCCATTCCGACATTATGATGAATAAAAATTTGATATGGAGCTCTTAAGTTCTCCTTGAAATGAAAAAAATAAACGATCTTTCGATTCAGGATAGTGGGTGAGCAACTGATCGTAAACCTAGTCTTTCCCCGTGTCGCGGAGAACCTAACGGGTAACCGGGGCTCCGGCTCGACGTGCAGGAGAAGGAACGGGGTGGTTTTTAGTCAGTAAGAGTCTGACACGCCCTTCCGCCTCACCCAGGCGGGAGCAGTCATTCGATGATTTTCCCCCCATCAAAAAAAAAAAAAAAGTCTTTCCCCGTAGAAACACGAAAAAACACGTGCAATTACTGTTCACAAATATATTTTTGCTTACTTAGTTTACCTACCTTACCTTATTATTAGGCTGTGATCTTACTCCACGTGTCTGTTAGGTAGTGTATGATTTCAGATTCGATCCATTGTCAGTGCACACACACACAAAAAATGTCTACCTAAGCAAATGTTATAGGAAACAAGTGATATTATATCATATGCCTATTCAAAATAGGTGCATATTAAATTGACAACTTTCAAATCAATTTATGTTTTTAAAGACGTTAGATGCAAAGTAAATAAAGTGATTTGGACCGGAATACGATAAAATGTGATACTGAGAATAAATTAAACTGTAAGTACATATTGTTTGTTTCTATAAAGATTTGGTCGTATCTAAGTATTGTTTAAATATACGTAGCCCCAATGAAAAGCTTGGTACCTATACCTACGTAGTATAAAGAAAACATTTCTTGTTGGAAATGGGAATCCCTGGCTTAATGCTTTTAAAGTAATTTAAAGTCTTGTTATACTAATTAAAGCCAGGGTTGCGTATGTTTATTTACATTTTTGTTAATTAATAATTACTTTTCTTATTACCGATGTTATCAAAGTTTTCTTACAGTAAGTCGTAATTTGTTCGTACGTGTGCTGAAACGCATTATTTGTTACGATACTGTCATTATCAGTTCCTTTTTTATATATAACTAAAGTGTGGGATTTATTTATTTAATTTGGCATTGGCAACTAAATAAAATTAGTAGTCTGTTGAATTTCGGTTGCACTTCAATATTTATAGAATGAGTGAATTTCTCACTGTTTTTATGTCACACAACTAAATATTTCAGTAATTTCTAATGAAATATTTAGTTGTGTGAGAAATTCGGAGGACTTTTGTAGACATTGTTAATTAATTCTATGTATGGTACGGTTTATACATGATTCATCGTCGAAGTATCTCGAATAATCGAGACGGTTCGACTAGTTTCAAGCCAAGATAGGGGTTCACAATTATGAGCGGTCGATAAGTTCATTAGAACGATTTTCAATATAATTCATTAGAGGTTAACATCGATTTTCATCTTTACAGACACGGTTTTATTGGCAAATTATGCGACTTATTTAATACTCTATTCTCTTGTTAAGATTTTAGAATCCTACCTACCGGAAAGTACCTGTACCTATGTATAAAAGTCGTCAATTTATTTGTCAGATATTTCACTTTTAGTAATTAAACACTGTTAAAGATAACGTGAGAGCGCAATCCATAGACATTAGAGTATCTTTTATTGGTACAATGATAACAAAGTATATCTACCCGACTACTGAAGTTTTCTACCAGTTATAGCTAAGATCTACGAACATACACACAAACGAACATTGAACAGTGAACTTGAGGCACCCGAAAGTACTAGAACGCTGAACGTTATATGAACTAAATTATTTTTGTAAGTAGAACTTTACTTTGCGTACGCGCCGGTTATCGCGCCTGCGCAGTGGTCCCTACGGAAATTTCACCCGTTTTATCAGTGCAAGGTGTAATGTTTGTGTTTTACGTAGGAATGTTACTGTGGTGTTTGTGTTTCTTTGGATTTATAGATATTATGCTATGCCACATCAATTTGCCAGATAATTCTCTGATGTCCTGTGATAATAATAACATTGCAATAATTTTAGATACATTATCGTACAATGGAAAAGCAGTGTTTAGTGCAAACTTGGATGATAACCGCGTATTTTTAGCTTTATCATATAGGTGTCAAAATAGTTTACCCCTGAGATGTTTCTAATTATAAAGTATGCGATGTCGCAGTTTACCTAGCTTGGTAAACATGTTCTGTATTTAGGTACCTAATCAACACATTACTCACATTTCTCAACGGATATTTACCTACCCAAACTAATACGATAAGAGTGTGTGAAATCTACATAAATTAAATAAAGGACATCCAACAGATATGCGTAAAAATGTAGGAAGTTCTAGAAAAGTACATTCATCCATGAAAAATATTCAAAATTAAAAAAAAAGAAAATCAATAAACAGTCTTTCACCACCAAAAAATATAAACCGCGTAAAAAACACAAAACATTCGAATTTTGAATATTAAACACATAAAAAGCCAATAGACAAATAAATGTCAATTAATGTGACAGCAGTTTCAAAGTACCTATTAAATTCCCGCCAATAACATGAATCAAGCATGGTTAATGGTCACATGCACAGATAAATAAAATGGCGAGTAGTGCAACGATCTCTGTGACCCGAACTACTTATCTGTCCATGCTCTGATCACTGTCTTGCGTAGATAGACACTCATATTCTATGTTGGATGAAAGGCGAAATTCCTTCGACTCTTCTTACTGTTTTTTTGTTTAAAATTGATATTATGCACCTTTTTTGGCACTGCTCATTAACTTTACGTTCATCCTTACTTCCTTACTATAATAATAATATAATAATAATAATAATAAGCCCGCAGGGCACCTTGAGGCGAGGTGACGGGCATTAGCGATCCCGCGGGCTACCATCATCCCGAGTGCTCCAGGGAGAGGTCACCGTTCCTTCTTCTCCGGCTTGCCTTAATTGGATGGCTGGAGTGAACGATGACAAGGAACAGGTCTCCCACCTCTGGCTTGCCTTCATTGGCCGTCCAGAGTGGAGTCGCGAGAGCAGTGATCCTGCTCGGAGGGTAAGAAACTATTCGTAAGTCGCGAGTGGGCCAGGGATGCAGGAGGCTTCGGCTGGAGCAGATGATCTGAGTAGAAAGCGGTGGTAGTTTCTTAACCCTTCAGCCACTCACATTCTCGTTGCCCCTCTGTTGCTATATCTAGCAACCATTCCCGGGGCCCGGTCGGTGAGTTGGCGAGTCTCCGCCTGCCATTTTTACGTGTAAAAATTACATTGTTTCGGCAGGTGCCATAGTCATCCATAGTTCCCAATTAACCAGTTCACAGCAACCCATCCATAGCCCTACCTTTTTTTTTTCCATTATTCACAATAGTCCTACACTAACCGGGGACTGTCCTTGGATGCATTTCCATAGTGCATACAGGGATAGTCGCCGGTTTGTGTGTCCATTACATTTATATTAAAGTTGTCTAAAGGGCCTCTGCGCAGTTGGCTTCGGCCCCTCGTACGCCTCCCAAATGACCGGGACCCTGTGGTCCCGTGAATGGTAAAGACATACATAATAATAATAATAATAATAATATATAATAATAATAATAATAATAATATTATAAATCTGAAAGTGAGTTTGTTTGTTTGTTTGTTTGTTCCACCTTCACGCCGTAACTACTCAACCGATTGCTTTGAATTTTTGCAGACGTAAAGTTAGAAGTCCGGATTAAATAATAGGGTACTTTTTAACCCGGAAAAAATTAATATTCCCGAGGAAAAACAAAAGTATTGGTATAGATGGCGCTGTCTGTATTTGTATATGTCACATAGGGTACTTTTTATTCTTTTGTGACGCGAGCGAAGCTGTGGGTAAAAGCTAGTCTTTAATAAGTGTTGGTAAAACAAATGTTAATAAATTGAAATTCCATATGAATTATTGCAAATCCTCTTGTTTCGTGTCCAAATTTTAGATAGACGTACCTATGTCCAAATTTTACATATACTTAAGGGTTTGTGTAATTCCAAAACGTTTATATAAATGTTTAAATTCTCATACGTACCAGTTCGCGTATTCAAATTCACTTAATGTGTTGGTTTTGTTTCATTTGTTTGGTTGAGGATATACTCCTAAAAGGCTTAAAAGGCTATTAAATAATGGAATAATCACTTTTAGGGTCAGTTTAGGCTTTCAATGTTTGGTATTGCACTGTATAAGGTACTGAAAGTATTAACCTAGGTACCGTTAATTTAGGTTTATTTAGCAAGAGAACGAGAGCAATAAAAGTTTGTTTCTATATCTAAATTCTTATGTACATTGACGTACCCACCGACTGGTGATAATGACGTGACACTACAGGATTATTGTTCACAAAAACAAATGTTTGCAAAAACTTCTGAAATTACGATAGCTATCTAATTAAGTTCTAATAGATTGCAAATTATATCGTTTATATTAAAATACGTTAATATTTTATGTAATATATTCCTTTGAACACATTAAACTGTCAAACACCAAGCGGTCACCGGTGACCGCGACCTATTGTTCTTTAATTGTGTCTTTAAATACGGTACTCGACGAGTTAATTTGAAATAATGCGCGATGCAAACGACCTAAAAAATTCAAATCAAATTGGCCTTAAACCATAATATTGTCTCTATTGTTACAGATATAAAAGGAAAGTTAATTGGGAAATTGGTGCTAAAGTACACCTTAAAAATACCTGGCCGAAGAGCTATAACCAATGAAGACTCCGAGCGCAGCATTCGGAGCACAAACGTCATCCCTACCGTGAACAACTGGCCCTACCATCACAATTTTGATGGTCACTCTCCCGCTGGAGAAAATTATCTACACGCACTGTCACTTCATTATTATTAAGTTTCTAAACATCTTCTTTATTTTGTAGTCTATTTATATATTCATTGTATTTCAACTTGTAATCAGTTTGAATAATGAGCAAGATTTTAAAAGTCGTCGGGGCCTCCTGGCTCCAGACGAAGATTAGCTCCTACATCCTTGGAATCCTCGGCATTCTATCAATCTTGGCCCTGTTTGTCGGACAAATTGAAAGGTTAGTACAATATAAGTTAATCACTATTGTAAATACAGGAAACTGTCTTAATCTCTCGACCAAGGAGAACAATCTCAGACGAAGTAATTGCGTTGCAAATCAAACAAAATATCTTGTTTACTGCGCTGCAATTACTTCTTATCAGAATCTGAATGCCATCCATCATTATGAAACTGCTTACTTTTTCGCATCATCTTTAACTTTATATACAATTCTAATAGGTCTTTATGTATTTATTTCAGAATTCAGGAAGATGGAAATTACGCAGCTACTGTGTTCTTTTCTAATAAAACTGGATATCGCATTGAGTACTGGGGGCAGAGTAACGAACTGACCGACATTCCACGGGGAGTAGCACGCGCGTACTTCAGAATGGATATTGATACAACCGGGTAAGCATAATTATACAACAACTCAACGTAAAACCCAACTAACGATAAGTACATGAAAGTAAGAATAACACTGCCGAGTGGTTTAAGATACATATTTCAAAAACTTTGACTGATTATGTTTTCAGTCATATCTTCAGCGCTTTTGTATCTATTTTTATTATTCAAATATAATTTTATTATTTGTAGCTGGTCTCTCCTGGAAATTGAGACCGACCCGTCATATTCTGATGAACACCAAGCTTATGCGGCGGGCATTGTCGAGGGAGCTCTAACGTGGTCCCTGATCGACTCACACATAGAGAACACCATTACATCGAAGTGTGAGGAAGGATCGTCTGTAATGAAACAGTGTAATAACTTCAAGGACGCCCTCGACAAGTCGGTTGATATCTGGAAGGCGCATGCTGCAGAAAGAAGTTCAGAAGACCCGTTCTGGCATCATGTAAGTTGAATATTTTATTAATAGAATGGAAGTTTCTATAAGCTAGTTTAAAAATTGTGTAGGTAATCAAAATGGGACTAAATAATGGGATAATAACAGCTGGAATTTCTTAATGGATAACTTCAAATATCCGATAACAACGTATACCAACAAAGTCGTTTTCCTCGTAGTACCACTAACAAACAATAACACGATACGAGTAATTTGCACATGGGAAAACCTGATAAAAATATATGGTAGATATTTCCTCGCATAATATCTTAATCATGAATCGATATTTGCGAAGAGCTGTAAGTAAAACAGTAAAAATGACGATTAGTGTGAAGTAAGCAAAATGAAACATTTTTTCTCATCTCAGGTATTTTTATACTACACCCAAATAAGCGGTATATTCACCGGTTGGAAGCATGGTGTTGCCCGCAGTATGAAAGAACATGAACCTGACATCTCTGACTTGTATTGGTTAAACTCCGTATCAGAAGCAATAGAAATACAACGCAAAATGAACATCACATTGGAAGACGAAGGCTTAGAAGCCATCCCTCACTTGTCCAGTGCCTTCTTGAGAGTTGTTGATGATAAAAAAAATGATGGGACTCCTACTAAGAAGCTATATGTTTCGCAAAATGCGGCTGGAAGGTAATATTGCAAATTTTGTAGAAGTATATAGATTTTACTCTATCAAATGTTTCAATAATTTTGGAATTAACTAGCGTACCCAATTCTCGCTATTTCTCCTTAATATTAATATAACTTTTGTCATCTTCATCGTTAGCTAGAAGACGTGTACTATTACAATATCTCTCTTTCCTTATTTACTTCTTTAACTCAACGATCCATAGTAGATCTTGGCTTTTGTTACAATATTTCATCATTTCTCACGTTTCTTGGCAGTTTCTCCTAACACTCTATATTTTATTACTTTTTTGTTTTTAATATAATTATTCTTGTTGCTCAAACACCCATTCGTATAATTCCAGCTACTCATCAATGACTCGAATCCTGAAGAAGTACAAACTGAACTATCACAAGACAGCTAAAGATTCGGACTTAGTTCCCGGAACATCGGTGCACTTCTCAGGATACCCGGGTTCTATCACCAGCCAGGATGAGTTCTACATCGTGAGGGGAGAGGACCACAGGCTGGCTGTCACTGGAACTGCTCTAAGGAACTATAATGCTAAATTGTGGAAGGAAGTTAATATTACAGAGCAAGTGAGTAATATCTATATTTACTACTAATGTTTTAAATACTTTGTACGTTTGTTGCGATTCCATTAACTCGTCGAGTACCGGTTTTATAGACACAATTAAAGAACAATAGGTCGCGGTCACCGGTGACCGCTTGGTGTTTGACAGTTTAAAAACCTCTACACTGATTGTAATAGAAGTTGATGCAGATTAGATTAGAATAGACCTCGGGACTGACCTGAGAACATTTTTAAAATTAGACAGTTTCGGTAGTTGAGTAGAGGTACCAGCTAAGAAAAACCTAACGCACTTTAGGAAATCGATAAATATTAAAAACACCATATTAAAAACTTCCTTTTAACTCAATAGTATAATTATCAAACGAAGTGTTCGTCATAAAGTATTATCGTACGTGGTCTCTTTGTGACTACCCTTTGTGACATTTACTTTACATCCGATATGTTATGTCCACACTCGTGCGCACACGCATTGTTTGTGTGGCGCCAGCACATGCAACGGCGCATGCTTAAGGCTATTAAACTGAGAACTGAGATGAATAACGTGTGCTCTATTACACGCGAACCCGTCTTTATTGACGACAATCACGATTTAAGTAAGGCATACTGCACACGCACGATGTTTTAACGTTTGTAAAAGTAGGTTTTGTTCACGGCAGATAACATTGGCACCTAATACATAGAAATGTACACTTTAAATTTTAACATTATTGTTTATATAGTTGAATAGGTAATTAGAACATCAGGGTGACAGGTATCTATCGAGTGTACCTACCTACCTATTAAGTTTATTGACATTTTATCTCTTATTCTAGTACCTACCTCGACACGAAAAAACTATTCATCAACATCATTATTATCATCGCCATTCCATCATCATCATCATATCAGTTAGGTACAAGATGTCCATTCTGAATAGATCGAGCCCAATGACTTCCAGATCCTCCGGCTGGAAAAAGTTTATTAGCTTCTGTATAACTATTGGCATTTTCTAATGAAGTAATATTTTTTTCAGGTACCTTTGGGTCCTAGAGTATCAGCAGCCAATCATCTGGCGACGAACGTGAGCACATGGGGTCACATTCTGGCTACCAGTAACTCAGGAACAGCGAGCAAACAGTGGCTCATTGTAGATTTCAATAGATTCGACCATCTGCATGCGCTAGCGCCACGCCCTGTAGTCACTAAGCCTGTCCGCAATGAGGTCGTCACTGAAAGCACTGTAGACAAGTAAGTTTTAAAAATATTTTGTTTAATAATAAAATAAGACTGCCTTATTGACCGAGTGGTCGCAAGTGCGACTGCCGGGCAAGGGGTCTCGGGTTCGATTCCCGGGTCGGGCAAAGTAGTACTGGGTTTGTAAAAACCTCAGTAGTAGCACGGAGTCTGGAAATGTGCCCGGTATATGGCAATAGGCTCACCCCCTATTACATGGGACTCATAACATAAATAGTGAAAAGTGGGTGTTACATTGTACAGTGGCATTAAGTGCCGTAATGTGCAACTCTGCCTACCCCTTTGGGGATAAAAGGCGTGATGTTATGTTATGTAATACTCTCAAACATTTTTCTTCGAACTTATTGAAACTCATTGCTGACCGGTTCTAATGGAGAATTAACCTTCAACGGTTGTCTGTTTTCTGTTAAACTCTTACTTAATACTTAAAACTTCTAGACGTCAGGTATTAACTTTGTTTTCTTTGAGTCAGGTATTCACGTTGCCTTTGCTGTCTTTTTCAGAGACGTCAGGCACATCATAGTATACCGAAACAACAATGGTCACTCAAAAGGCCTGCTAGCCCTGGTTGAACAGGTTCCAGGGCGTACACACTCTGCCGACCTATCTGACGCTTTCTTGGAACAGGGCTACTGGGCCACTTACGGATTACCCTTCTTCAAAGTAAGTCATAATAAGTATCTTTGGAATGAACATAATGTAGAACAAAGTCCCATCTTATCTACATATTATGTTTGCGATATAGGTACTCAAAAATCACTGGACTTATTTTTTTCGGCTTTTTATTAGCAACGATTCTTATGGAAGATTTAAGTACCTACTTGATATGAGCCTTTTTAAATATTTTATCATAACCGAAAATTAATTCATGGAATTAATTACCTTTCAGGATATTGCAGAAATAACACACGTCAACAAAATGCATGAACAATATGGAAACATCTTTTCCGAAACGGAGTCTCCTCGAGCGTTGCTATTCAAGCGAGGGTATCAGAACGCAACGACATTGGACAGCATAATATCGCTAATGAGACAAAACAACATGACTGAAGCAAATAGTACGAACCTTGGTGATATTGATGATTGTGAAGATGTTGATGATGTTGACTGTATACTTCGCGAGCAAGGATACTGGTCGGTCGTAGGAGTGAGAGGAGACATCACCAAACATTACTCAGAACCTTACGGAGTTATCGACACTAAAGTCGTCAGTGGTGAGTTCATTTTATCAATTTGTGGTTTAGAAAAAAGCAAGATTGAACATTAAGTACCTAACAGTTATAATGTTTTGTTCACAGGAGCCCTAAATGAGACCAACTTGGACTTTTTCGCGATATCCGGACCACCGTACACAGAAATCCAACCAAACGCAACTAAAACATTAATAAACAAAGGAAACGTTGCACCAATCTACACAGAACTGATTAACAACAAGAGTAACATGAGTGGAATTGAAATAAGGGACTTGGTGATACATGAACAGGAGAAAGCAGCTGAAGATAAACTGGAACTTCTGAACAAAGACCTGATAAAACCTTTTGACTGGTCAGAAAGTGAATTCAAAAACGACACACATAACGGTCTACCTGACAGGTGGGCATTTAGCCTATATTCGCCTAAATGGACGTGGTGAATCTCCAAGTCAATCTGTCATATCGTCTTTCATAATAATTTGTTTTAATTTAATTTTAAGCCCCGAGTTCATCACTTCCAACTAGCAAATAAGAAAATTGGGACTAAAATATCAGTACTCCTTTTTTAATTTTGACAAAAGCGATATTTGGTCTTTTATTGATTCGACGCCATTCCGTTTAGACTTGAATCAAACGCTTATAGCAAATTCTGTTCGTAGGTAAATGTAATTCAATGTTTATGTTAAGATTATTTATTGGATTTATGTTCGTTCCGTTTATGTTCGTTTGTATATTCGTCTTATAAGTGTTTAGTTACTGTTTCTGTGTTTAGATCAGAACTTTGGTAACCACACGGACTGTCGTGATTTGTTAGGAGAAATAACTATGTTTAAGTATCAATCTATCTTCTTGATTTTAATGAAATGTACCAATTTGTCTACAAAATCATGTCCAAATCATTTTATCATTTCGACCATTTTTTATTAGGAATTATATTATTTGATGAATTCACAAAATGGCTCTGTACTTTATCGATGTACTTATAGAATATTTATATTTTTATAAATTATTTTTACATCTACTTACTGACTTTGTGAAGCATCAAGCTGTGACTTAAAATGTTCCATGTGCCTATTTATTGTGATTTTAATAAAAATGAAGTGACTTATACATTTGATTTTGCTCTCGAAAATAAATATTTCCAACATAATATTCCTACAATTATTTTCTTATTTATTATCATCGTAATTTATAAGTAAATAATGTCCTTTTTCATTAACTCTTCAACTGAGGTTTGAGAGGGGGTAAGTATTTTAATCTCAAATACCAAAGCAAGATTTTATTGTCGCAGTCACACAGTTTAACAGAGTTAGTCGAGTTTCATTCCCATATCGCAGTTTTTATTTATTAATTTTTTATAAATATTTTTGACAATATTGACCTATTTATCTATGTAGGTATCTTATCTACTGATTCAATCGGTGAATACTCTGCACTCTTGCCTACCCTTGGTAATAACGGGCATCATGTTAATGTATGTGCACTTACTTAGGTAGGTACTTATTAGAATGCCAAGGATACCCTTGGCATTTGGGAAAGCAAATGAACCTGCTTGTTAGATTTTTGCACGGCTAATACAATCTGTGGATGACCTACAAAAATGTCTGACATTGCTGTCATTCAAAAACTGTTACTTTCAAAAAGGCAGCTTTTCTGAAGCAATTTATACTTACAGTTTCTTTAAAATAGCTGATCTTTGCTTATTTATAATAAATAACAAGAAAGAAGTTAGAAACTTATCCACAAATAAATTCCAAAGAAGAACTCAATCATGAACTTTAATCCCAGAGGTAATATTCCAAAATAAGTTTTAATATTTATTTTCATTCGATATTATCCTTGTTATAAGTGGTGTGTGCAGTAAATACTTACTTCAACGCACATATGGAGAGAAGATAAAGTAATTCTTAAATTGTCTTTGTACCTACTTGGTAGACTAATAATTAGAAGGTGTAAAATAATATTTAACAGTAAAAATGGAATTGGAAATTGAGGTAAGTTTTCTTTTTTAGTTTTTTTTGTTAGCCATGATTGCATTTAAATACTAATTTATAGTAAGATTCTGAAATCTTATAAATACATCAATCTTCCTGATTTCACGGTCAGAAATCGAATAAGAACTCGATTTTATTATCCTTATTGAAATAGTATATTTTGTACTTGGCAACACCAATAAGAATTGTCAAGTCTACCATGAGTCATATGATTGTCAATTTATTTGTCATCAGTTTGTTTTGATATTGTATTTCGCAATTTTTGAGAAGTTTTAGTTATACTTTTGAATTAATTTTCGTAATTTACACATTTTACAATGGATTTTTTCTTTGGGAAACAACCAACTGTCAAAGGTAAGTAAACAAAAATTTTAGTCAACATGTTTCCTTAACGCGTATCATAAAGTTTTGATCTGCAAGATTATTCAAGAAATTCGGTTAATAACAAAAGTAATTAGCACAGGATCAAGCACAAGAATTCAATCTAAGTGAGCCAATGAGTTGAAAGACCAAATATAAACTAGCTTTAGAAACAAGACCAAATACCTATCTGGAAGATGGCATTTTGATACTATTTGATTATTACAGTATTATTACAAGGTCGCATCTTAGTGGCTAGACGAATATATTATAGGCGATGAGTAACACAATTTTTTAACAGGACAGGTTACAATTGCGTTCTTATTACTTTTTAAAGTGTAGCACAACTAGCTTGATAATTTTTACATTCCATTCATACATTCCCAAGTATTTAATAAAAAGCAAATGTAATGCTACTATTATGGCAGAGTCAGTCAGACAGTTACAGTCTTCACCAAACTATGAAATGTTGTATTATCCAAAATAATAGCAATGTTTTAAACATAAACCTCCATGCCTAAAACCTCGTTCAAATCAAACATTATGAAAATAAACAAACTGATAACACATTAGTCTGAGTCACGCATCTATGAGTAACAATGCTTCATACCTACTACACTTTCTCTTACAGAACAACAAAGGCAAAATGATCGAGAACTCCGCAAGGCAGCTAGAGACTTGGAAAGAGACAAAGCGGCTTTAGAAAGAGAAGAGAAGAAACTTGTATGTATTTACTTGAATTAAAAACTATCTCATATACTACAATCTACATGGACTTTGAATGAATGTCTAAATGAGGGTTCTGAATACTACAACCAGCCACCGAGTAATGGTAGTGACCTAACTGACCTCCGTAAACTACTGACCAAGATTGGGAATTATCTGTCTCTCTAGTCTGTTCTTAAACATGATGTTTTAGTCATAATCACAGTCTTAATAGTAAACAATGTCCAACCGATTATAATGATTAACTTGTGTACTGGGTTTTCATAGTTAGTCTAGATGACAAGATACTTGCCATCTTAGATTTATTGCCTACTAGCAGCCCGTCCCGGTTTCGCACGAGGTAGACAATTATTTATTTTTCGAAATTTGGATTGTTGTAGTGACATAACTACAATAGTTGGACATATGCTACCGCAAAGTTTTTTGTAGACATTATGATGTTCTTCAATATTGTTGTACATTATTTTGTTCTATCGCTAATAGTTTCGGCAGCGCATTCGACGATAGACATTTTAAGACTCATTTTTCTACACCTTCGGTTACATTGTTCAAATTTTACCAAGGATCCCTAATTTTTTTCAAAATGAAATGTTGCCTATGTCAAATTGGAAGAATGCAGCATTCTATTTGTGATAGAATTTTTTAAATCGGCCCAGTATTTTTTGAGCCTATTCATTACAAACATACAAAAATAGGTACAAATCTTTCCTCTTTATAATATTAGTATAGATGTATGTATTTTTTTTATTTTTATGTTTCCAGGAGAATGAGATTAAAAAAATGGCTAAAGAAGGCAATAATGAAGGTTGTAAAATATTAGCAAAACAACTGGTGCAGATGAGGAAACAGAAAGCTAGGATTTATAGTGCTAATAGTAAGGTAAGGATAATAACTCACTAAATGTAAATATCACAAGATAAACTAGACAATGGCCATAATAAAAGTGACATGTAATGGTCTAATAAGTAATCATAATCAATAATAGATAAAAAAAAACCAACATGGGACTGTAATATCACAATGTGAAGTTTTATTTTAATTATTATAAAGCACTGTTACTGCTCAATATCTACTTTGGAGCTTTTATGTGTTTTAAATAACTACTTTGTTTTTGCTGGTATTTTATTCTAGCCTAAACTGGTTTATCCTATCGGGCTTACCAGGCTATACCAGTTAATCCTAACGCGTATAGGAAGTACTAGTTTGGCCTAGGCAAAACTAGTTTGTCCTGAAATCAGGTTTGGCCGGTAACATATATAACACAAAACAACAAATTTATACTTATTATACCTACAAATCTCTTGTAAATTTTTATTAAATTACTTTCTGTCATTTCAGATTTCAAGTGTACAAATACAAAATAAGACGATGGGAGCAAACATAGCGATTGCAGGCGCGATGGGTACCACCGCTAAAACCATGGATAGCATGAATAAGGTCATGAACCCACAACAAATTGCTAAAGACATGGAGGCCTTTAGACAAGCTAATGCTAAGATGGATATGACAGATGAAATGAGTAAGTATTTGTTCCAATTTAATTACAACATTATTGAATGGGTCTTATAGGCTCCGACTCAAGGCACACATTTCAAATGCCCCTAAACCTTATATGGATTTATAATACTGATCAATGTTTTCACTACAGTTGCAGACACACTTGATGACATCATGGACGAATCTGGCGACGAGGAAGAGACTGAAGGCATTGTCAACAAGGTGCTCGATGAAATCGGCATTGAAATCAGTGGAAAGGTAAATTTCTATTAATTAATATTTTTATTTTTGTTCTGGTGAAACCCGCCTAGGAAATGCTTGCTCTATATTTAAAAAAATCAATAAGAACGCTTTTGTCTACATTTTAGAGAAAAAATAATTCAATGCCTAAAATCTATTCTCGAATAAGTCACCAATTTTACTTTTTATTTTGTCACCAAAATTAAAAATCTAATTAGGTAGTTCGTAATGATTAGTAGGTAATGATAAAATATTAGACACGTACTTTTTTTTGTCATGTATTAAAACAATACTTAGATAATACGAATCAAAGTTAAGGAGTGGGGGCTAAAACGTCATTTCTACGTATAAAATGTACATAGAAGTGACGTCACTCGACATTTCAAATCAACATATCACCACCTACCCCTATTGGCGCTAGTGAGACTCAAAACCCCGTATTGTCGCCAGAAGATTAAAAAAAAATGGATTTTTAAAATTGGATTAAAAGGATTTTTAGTTACAAGATTTTTATTAGTATGTGATCATATATTTTCATATGACCATTTTCTTCTGTAGTACCTACTGGTTCGTATATTAAACTCTGCATCGTAAAACCTAGTTTGCTTAACGTAGCGATAGGTAAATTAAACAAATAAACCTTTACTCATGGTCACGGATAAACAAGGACGGATCGGGATAATATCACCGGCCGCACAAATATTTGTACCGTGCGGGATTGTAATGTGACCTTCAATGTATGAGTGTACGCTGTTCATTCAAAGTTTAAACCTTAATTTAAGTAGTTTCCCATGCCATGACATAGGTGACATAGGTATGTTTTAATGTAAAATTTAGGTCATTGGATGACATAGACTTGATCATATCATATCAAGTAAACAAGAAAAACCTAAATTAAGTAAAATCGCGGATTTCTCACGTGAATATACTGAGAAAAGCTTTACTACTACTTATTGTAGTATGTCTCACGATAGTTATTATAAAAACAAGAAAAACCTAACCTATAATTAACCAATTTTTTTCTATTTTTACAGATGGCTGGTGCCCCATCGGTGGCTCGCAACAAACTTGGAGAATCAACCAAAGACGCCGATAAAGAACTTATGGAACAGCTGGCTAAGCTTAAGTCTTAGAATATTATTAATTGTTAAAAGTAAATAAAATAAGGCGCGCACATAAAATATAATCTCTATTTGTGAATTTATAATTTTTTACAATGAATCATGTTTAATTTAATGTTCAAAGCAAATAAATAAGCTGTTTTTGTTATTATTTATCTATTTCAATATGTGTTCCGATATTTTAATTATGGTAACTTTGTATAAATCTCGACAATAGACTGAATACAACAATTAATAACGAATTAGGAAAGTTAATATTTGATCAAATTACAAAAGATTAAAATGCGTACGTACGTACGTAAATACGTACGTATTTTTAAAAGGCCATTGTGTAATGAAATATTGTAGGTCATTTATTATTTATTTTTTTATTATTTATGCTAATTTCTTGATCGTGCATCTGTATTTAAATCAATATTATTATTATGAATTTGCAGTATTTGCACACTGTAGCTGTGTTTATAACGTAATGGCTCCTTCATACTATATCGATAGCACACCGCCGACTTTTGGCTGCTTACACCAGCCATGCCGCCATTTTGTGACTTACATTTTTTATGCTGGCAGCCTCGAACGCTTATATGTGCGTAGGTATATAGTTTGTTGGAGCGTTTAGACGTTATAGGTAAAATTTTTTATTTTGTAGATGTTAATAAATACCTAATTTGCATTTAATAAAAGCTGTCGGTGTTTTTAAATACATTCAAGCTGTTTTAAATGTATGATTAGTATTACAAATGTTCCCGCCCTCTTCGTTCTTTTTTTCTATACTTAAATTTGAAATAAGAACACGTCAAATATGTATAAAATGGCTGTTACTGTTGGTTTGATAACTTACGAGAGTATAATGTGAAAATAGTTTACTAACTGTGATATTTTTATATTATACGCTACGGGTGAACTTTAATATGCATTTTTATTTAATACTAGATTCTGCTCGCGACTTCGTACACGTAATCCCGTTTGCTCCCGTTCCCGTAGGATGTTCATGATTTTTTTGTCTTAAGAACCTTTTCGTAATAATAACAAATACAACAAAATAGAATTAAACTGTCAAACACCGCGAGGACACCGGTGACCGCAACCTATTGTTCTTTAATTGTGTCTATAATGACGGTACTTAGTGAAATCGGTCCAGCCATTTACACATGATGCCGTGACCAAGGCAAAAAGGGATTTATTTATTTATTTATTCGAAAGAGTACGGCCACATCACAAACATATAACATTCAAAATACACAATAGTAACAAAATAAAGGTCTGATGCATGCGACAATAATGGCGTACATAGCACTGGCAATTCATAGGCTTAACAGTGGCTTAAAAATAAAATCAATTTAAGAATTATAGAAAAGAAAATAACAGCAATAATCCACACCATACACACATTAAAATGAGAATTTAACAAGATGTCTGATTAAAACAAAACAAATTAACAACAAAAATTAATTAGTATCTATGCCATATTAAGTCTAATAATAATAATAATTTAATACAAATATAATATAATAAAATGTCAAATTATCGTCAAGATTTCAAAGAAATGTCAATTAAATTAAATTAAATGAGAATCAAAATAATTTCAATGATTTAAAGAAATGTCAGAGTCTAAAACAGATGCCAAAGTATAAAGCAGCAAGCAGCACCAACAACAACAATAACAAACGATACTATAGTGCATCAATAATCCTGCCTGGGATTTATTATTATATACCTACTATTTATACAGAAGGTATGTCCTTCTGTAGAATTTGTATATTTTACCCTAAACGATCTGAATGATACGCGATTTAACAGTTATAATTTGCAATTTCAAGTCCCTAGTTAATTTTTTCCTATTGTGTATTATTTGTGTACCTATTATCAAATATGTAGTCGTACAAAATGCGGTCATGTGAAAAGTTATCCACGTCATAAAAACAATTTAAAAGTCTTTAATGCATATTTTACGAAAGACCTTGGGAGGTAAACACAGGGTGGTGTTTTGTGGTGAGTAACTGGCAAGCATTAGTCAGGTAGGCATGACGACTTGACCGCGTCATTGATATGCAAGGGGCGACGATAATTTACTTTAAAATTTAATTAAATTGACTCAGTTTGTTTACCATTTCGATAATGTCACTAGAAACTGGATAATGGTAATTTCACTTCGCAGTTAACCAAAGAATACGGTGAATGACAGTTGCTTCTAGTTGTAATTCGTAAAAATGACGATTCCAGACCATCTGTTTGATGAAGGAATAAATAACACCCTGTTTCATAATGACATGAGGCATATACAGCAAAATAAAACAGTGTATGAAAAAACACAGCGAGATTATGTAAGTACCTATTATTATCACGCTTCTGGAATGGGAATATTTGTACTTGCTCTTTTTTATGCATTTTGTTCCCTAAAGGGTAAGGTGTCTAAATATTACAAGTAGATAATAAATTACATGGAACCTGGAATCGTGTCTAGTGTATGACTATAAGCTCAACCTGTACCCACATGAGATTCCCTTTACTTTATGTAGTAGCTGTGGTAACATATCTATAGGTAATTAATTTAGTATTATATTAGTTTAATATTAAATTATTAAACTAAAATATTAGGAGCAAGAACAACGAGATCTGTTATCGTCTCAAGATGGAGATACATGTGAGATCCACGATCAGTTCTACAGGGACCATAAACTGCTACTCGTGTTGTTTCGAGCGCTTGCAGTCATGCCCATCACACGCTCTCGGCCAGGTTAGAACTACTTTTTATTAATAACTAGCGACCCGCCCCGGCTTCGCACGGGTTCAATATTTATGTATTATACATTTAAACCTTCCTTAAGAATCAGTCTTATCTATTTAAAAAAAACCGCATCAAAATCCGTTATATAGTTTTAAAGATCTAAGCATACATGTGCCGTGGTGGCCCGGAGGTTTAAGACTCCTGCTTCTCATGCATGAGGGTGCGGGTTCGAAACCTACCAACGGCAAGTACCAATGTGACTATTTCCGAGTTATATGTACTTTCTAAGATTATTTAGACACCACTGACAAACGGTGAAGGAAAAAAATCGTGAGGACACCTGGGCTTATAATTTCTAATTATAAGTTTGAAATCGCCAATCCACATTGAGCAAGTGTGGTGATTAATGCTCTAACCTTCTCTGTGTGAGAAGAGGCTTTGCTCAGCAGCATACATAGGGACAGACAGACGGCGGATAGCGACTTTGTTTTATACTATGTAGTGATTTCATTTAATCTGATTTCAAAGAAGTGCCGTATTGGTCGATTATATCGTCGGTCGTAAAACATTATGGACTGGTCGATTTTAGAAAATTCTTTGTAAGTAGAGCAAAAACTTGAAGCATGAGTACCTACTACTTATATTTTTAGAAATACATACAAAAACAAAATTCTATGACTTATGCTTTTCTAATCAAATATTAACTTGTGAGATATATTTTCCATATGATCGTATTTTATTATGTAGGTAACTTAATTCTTATTTCAGGCACGATCACATTTAGCTGGAAATCCAGAGCCACAATGTACGCGGTATGTTTCTACATCGCTGCCACAGCCGTTGTTCTAATCGTGGGATATGAGCGGATAATGATACTCCGATCAATTCGACGCTTCGACGACTATATTTATGCCATTCTTTTCGTCATTTTCCTCGTTCCGCATTTCTGGATACCATTCGTGGGTTGGGGCGTGGCTCATCAAGTCGCTATTTACAAAACTAATTGGGGGAAATTTCAGGTACTTAAGTGTGTATACTTATGATTATGTATTACGCAAAACACGTGGCTGTATAGGTTGTCTGAAATCGTATGTTAACCATGTTGCTATCGTTCTCTGTAACAAAGTTAATATACAGTAGGTATAGGCGTCTTATTCTAAGCTACATAATTATATTTAACCGAGCTTTAGGATTGACTTTAGCGACTCATCAACCAAAACCTAACAGTCGTTCAAATAGATATACTAAAAAAATATCTAGAATAGGTAAAACCCACGTAAAACCTCTTTAAAAGTGTTATGTAATAAAGGCATCAATAACCAAACAATTTGTATCTTAATACTCCATGTATTTACAGGTCAGATACTACCGCGTTACCGGCGAAAACCTTCAATTTCCTAACTTGAAGACAACAATCGTCATCATTAGCGTGGGTTGTTTGTTGCTCGCCGTCTGTTTCCTGCTCAGTCTCTGTATACTAATGGACGGATTCCTCCTGAGACATACGTCAGCATATTATCATATCATTACTATGATCAACATGAACTGCGCTCTCTGGTACATCAACTGCAAAGGAATTAAGATCGCCTCGCAAAGTCTCTCGGAATGTTTTCGTAGGGTAATGTGTATAATGTTTACTTAAATATCTAACATCAAATAATAAGATCGGTAATTAGAATACTGATTATGTTTTGTCTGTGAAACAAGACCTATCTTACTAAGTGTATTCCTTACAGCTCTGATTTCAATTGCACCTTTGATTTACCATTTATTTATTGCTCTTGAAATAAATAATCAAATATTCCACGTACACATTTTTGGTTTAACGACAAAACAATTCTGTAACGCCACGGTTGGCGCGGTGGCTGGACAACTGGCTGCCGCGTAACGTGTCGCGGGTTCGATTTCCGGACAGAACAACTCTTTGTATGATCCACAGATAGTTGTTCCGGGTCTGGGTGTCATGTGTATGTGAACTTGTATCTTTGTAAACGCACCCACGACACCTAGTGTGGGGCAACGTTTTTATAAAAACAAATAAACAAAAATTCTTTAATAATTATTCTGGCCATAATACACAAGACAGTATGTGCTTTTCAAATGCATTTACTGTTAAAATGTACTTTAACAAAACTAAAGAGTACTGAACTATACATCTCTAATATTTTACGATGAGGACTAAAAATAGTGGTACAAAAACTACTGACATTTTAATTTCCACATCATTCAAGTGGGCTAAAAGGCTATCAAGTGTTTGAAGAAGCGATTCAAATGGGAGAGTTAGGAATATTTCCTTTCTCATGTAGGTAATATTCTCCAGTTAACGAGTATTCAACGAATATATTTCTACAGATGTTAATCAAACTATAGTTACTACGAATAAACACTGAACATTTTAGTGAATACTCGTAACAAAAATCAACGTAATTAACATTGTGTTCTAATTAGATTACAATATTTACACGTGTAACTTCGAGAGTGCTCAAGTAATTTCAAGCTATACACGGGGTTCATAATTGTTTACCACTTAGCATTAGCGTTTCTTAACAAACTTAAATCGTTTCAATCAATATTTAATTCTGTAAATATTTTACTTGCAAAATATCTTCTTAGCCTTACGTGACGTTGTTCTATGTAATTTTATGTTTATTTTATTATATTTTAAGTTAAACCTATGTAATATTCGTCAGGACGTGGAACAAGAATGTTCAGCGAAGTTGATATCACGGTACCGTTACCTATGGCTCAACCTGTCCGAGCTGCTGCAGTCGCTGGGCAACGCTTATGCCAGAACTTATTCAACTTATTGTCTATTCATGTAAGTTGTATCCCTTCAAATTCGATACTCTAAAGTTTAAAAAAAAAATTAAACGTTATTTTTGACACACTTACTAATTCTCCCGGTACGCCTGTTCGTTTTTGGAATTTAAAGCGAGAGTTTGAACATTGGACTAAGTCTGTTTATATCCAAAACTAAACAATATAAAACAATACATAGTTTCATTGCCATACCATATTTATTTTGTATGTTCCTTTTAAATTTTTTTTTATTTACAATATTCGTTTTTATACTTGTACGTAACTCATTCGAAATCAAAAAAAGAAATAGAGAATTAAAGATATTAATAACTAAAGGTTTCAATATAATTCATTCAACTAGGTTTGCGAACATAACGATAGCAGTATATGGAGCCCTGTCAGAGATAGTCGACCATGGATTTGGGTTCAGCTTCAAAGAAATGGGCCTGTTCGTCGACGCAGCCTACTGCTCTACTCTATTCTTCATATTTGTGGACTGCTCGCATAAATCTACTTTAACGGTATAAAATGATCAATATTGAAATAAGCTTATTAATTTGATTGTAAGTTTTTCTACCAAATACGTAAATATAAAATTTTCATCAATTCTTTTCCAAAACGTTTTCTATGACATCTTATAGACAAGTCCTGCTTACAGGTAGCTGCCGGTGTCCAAGACACACTTCTGTCCATCGATGTCCTGGCAGTTGACAGACCCACACAGAAAGAGGTAAGTTTATAACTTATTTCTGTGCGCTACGCAGAGCTACGGCGTAGCTGACGTGCTACGAAATCGTAGTTTCGTAGTAATAGACTACGCCATTTCTGTATTTAGCTTTCATAAAATACTTTAAGGAGTTAATTAGTTTCTTATGGTTTATCAGGATTCAGGTCGCTAGTTATTTGCTAAGTAAAGACTGTAACAGATACAATTACTCTGTCATCCCATCTCGTGTTTCTTACTCAGTACTCTCTTAAGTTGTTGAACTCACCCTGATTTAAAGCGATTAGTTTTAAATGCGCGCAATTTAGAGAAGTTCTCGCCTATTGTACTACTTGATTGGATTTAAGGTAAATCTACACTTGAGGTGGCCATGATGTGAAACTATTTTTTTAATTGTTATTATACGCTAATATTACTTCTTGTATTATGTGAGCCGAGAGAATAATGTTTCCTTAGCTGTAAAATTATTAACTTATTATTACAAGCAAAGTTTTGCCAGAATCTATAATAACTAGCTAGATCTGTTCAGTTGTCCTATGAATATTACATTCAAAGGTATTTGAGTACCATTAGAGGTAGTCTCAGTGTAGGGCAAGGAAGAACTAATCAGTTACAATTCACGAACTTGAACTTTGAACTGATATATATTCATGAATGTAAACTTATAACTTGTTGGGTCCACACTACACCAGACGACACAACTCCAATCGATCGACAAGAGAGCGTTTTCTTTCTGGGCGTAAATAAACGAGCAAGCGGCGGTCACCTGATGGTAAGCAATTAGTGCCGCCCATGGACACCTAATGCGCCTGCCACACACTCGACGAGTGGTATGGGAAGAAAGGAGGCAGAGGCATAGTGTGGTAACATTACTTGTCATGCCACACGTGACGCTCCTAATTCTGCCCACTGCTCCCTATTTCGTCGGTTTTTGTGCGAGTCAAAGGACCGGCATTACGAGGAGGCAAGGAGGACCGGCATGGCATTAGGAGCGTCGCGATTAATTGCGCAAGAACTAATGTACTTGCGCAATACATCGCGGCCTCACAGAAAACCGACGTGAAGCAACGCTTGCGTCGTGTTTCGTCGTGTAAGTGAGGTTACCGGAGGCCCAATTATCCTCCCCTTCCCCAATCTCCCCAATCCCTGTATCCCCAACGATCCTCAAACTCCTAATCCCCAAAGAGCCGGTAACGCACTAGTAACGCCTCTGGTGTTCCAAGTGTCCATGGGCGACGCCGATTGCTTACCATCAGGTGAACCGTCTGCTCGTTAACTGGCATATGCCATAAAAAATCACGGCAGTGCGAGGAGCATAGCGATGAGCAGCGCAAGGAGTCTGGCAGGCGCATAACAAAGAACTTACATATAAGTGCGGTACCTTGCCGCCCTTTTGCAAGGGGGATTAAATACTACGTGGCGATACACAGCGGTCGTCGATCTTAAACGGGTCGTCTGATATGAATCTTTACTATTTGTTCTAAGTTACTGATTATTTCATGTTCTACAGAACCTAGAAATTACTTAGTATTTCTTACATTAATAGTTACGGGATTGTGGTCCTTGTGAAGCAACTAGTTATGTTTATGAGAGATTATGTAGAATTATGTATGTTTAGAGGATTACTGTCCGTATTGTTGTCTCCCAGAGATGTCTGTTGGAAATAGCTCATTGTTACAATGTAAATTAATGTGGTAAGATATTGATACAAAATAAATTATTTATTGAGCATATACGGATTGCTTGACGATAAGCGGTTACCACCGCCAATTGACACCTGCAACACCAGGGGAATTTGTTATCGAGTTATAATTTTGTAATCAACTTTTTGCGACAAAAATACAGAATTTATCAATCACAATTTTACAAATATTATTTGTCATGTGTTTAACATTGCTTAATATGTGTTATTAAAAAAAATCTAAATCGCAATACCAATGGAACCACAAAAAAACAAAACTTCATATTATTACGTACCACGTGCTTTCCTTTTCCTGGCTATGCAGCCAGGAAAATTTCATTATTTACTACCCTAACAGAAGTTCGATGACCCCAATATTATTAATCAAACGAATCATGCGTAAAAATTGCGTATGTAATCCACTCGGTAAAAATATTTGACGCACAAATTGTCGAGGATTTTTATCATGATGACGAAGCAAGAATCAATATTAAGTAATGGAGTGATAATAAATCCTGCTATGTAGGAGTAATATATTTGTGAATTCCTCTACTTCAGATCTTGGTATTATTAACACTTTATTTTTTAATAAACTCGTTTAATCTCTTTGTCAGATGTGATGTGAGAATAGAGTGCTAAGATCGCTCTCTGCGTAGCTGCGCTTATGACCAACAAGGCATTCATACATATAATATCAGGGAAAATTTTCCATTTATCATATCTTCGTCTTCCTTTATAACATGTATTGTAATAACTTATTTTTTATTTTACAGATAGACCACTTCATCCAAGCTATAGAGATGAACCCAGCTGTAGTGAGCTTGAAGGGATATGCTCATGTCAACAGAGAATTACTTACTTCGGTCAGCTACTTATCTATTGATTGTCTACTATTTTTTTTATGGCATAAACCGGTAAGCGAGCATACGGATCACCTGATGGTAAGCAATCGGCGTCGCTCATGGACACCTGGAACACCAGAGGAGTTACAAGGGCGTTACCGGCTTTTTGAGGATAACGAGTTTGAGGATCGTTGGGGAATCAGGGATTGGGGAGATTGGGGAAGGGGAGGGTAATTGGGCCTCCGGTAACCTCACTCACACGACGAAACACAACGCAAGCGTTGCTTCACGTCGGTTTTCTGTGAGGCCGTGGTATCACTCCGGTTGAGCCGGTCCATTCGTGCCGAAGCATGGCTCTCTCACACTTAAATTTTATCTATATAAATACTATTTTCTATTATAACACAATTCAACAGTTTCACAACTATAAAGTTCGCCTAAAATTTTGTGATGTATTTTAAAACAGCATTTTCTGCTAACTGCCTTATTGGCCGAGTGGTCGCAAGTGTGACTGCCGAGCAAGGGGTCTCGGGTTCGATTCCCGGGTTGGGCAATGTATTCCTGTGTTTTTTTTTAAATCTCAGTAGTAGCACTGAGCCTCGAATTTACTCGGTATATGGCAATAGACTCACCCCTATTCCTTGAGACTCAAAACATAAATAGTGAAAAGTGGGTGTTACGTTGCTTTTAGTGCCGGTATGTGTAATGTGCACCTCTGCCTACCCCTTTGGGGATAAAAGGCTTGATGTTATGTTATGTTCTGTTACATCATTTACAAAATAACACTAAAACAGGAGAACCTTCATTTTTGTGTAGGTAGACAATTCTATGATGAATTCAAGGAAAAGAGGCGTGTTACATTACGCTATTAGATGTAGTAAATTAGTAATTTTCAGCATCCTTTGTTACAGCCTCTTTAAACAATTTATCTCTGAGATAAAATCCCTGAGGAGGCAAACATCCTATTCAAAATCGATTGGGTTCGACTAATATCACGTTTCAAGGTATTTTTGGTAAGAAATTGAAAGCTCAGGCAACTTGTGGAACGTTCAGCCGTCCTATTAGTGTCATGCGGTGCGCTGTGAAGTCGACTAACTGACAGAATATCAATGAATACGTTTTAGATACGTGTACATACTTATGTAGCGCGTACTACTTCTTGGTATTCCTTATTTTAAGTACAATTTTATGGACAGATCTAGGAATTTAAATATCATTTTTACTTTATAATGATCGTCTGTTGGTGCTACTACTCTTCGTGCTACTACTGAGATTTTTTTAAAACTCCAGTAATACTTTGCTCGACCCGGGAATCGAACCCGAAGCCCCTTTACCGGCAGTCGCATTGGCGACCACTCGGCCAACGAGGCAGTCCTGTACATAAATATATACATACATACATAAGCATGTACATACATATAATATAATGATTTTTGTTTACAGGCAATCAGCATGATAGCTATCTATCTGATAGTACTACTGCAGTTCAAAATCTCACTGCCAAAAGATCCTCAGATAGTTGCCACGTAATTACCAAGGAGCTTCCTTGTTGCTTGCTGAGAATTTCACCTAGATTACACTACCAGAACAAAAGTACATTATAATGTGTCCAAAGTAGATAGATATCGTTAGTAGGTACCTTGATATTTTGTCATATTACGTATATTCACAAATGTATAATCTAAGTACCTGTGGGTAGATTTAGATACTAAGTAGATCATCAATCATCTAAACTTAATTTATATCGAAAAATATATGTTCATGTAAATTATTTGTCAAAGTGTCGATGGATTCATTTCAAAATGTCGCGTCATCGATTCTAGTACCTACTTATATATAATTGTGAATTTAAATCTACTCATGTATATGTATTTTAGACGCATAAACCCATTTGTACTACATTAAAAAAAAGTCCTTTAATTATAATAAAATAATAATAAAGAAGAATCGAGTTTAGTTTTAATAATAATTGACTGCACGGTTGGTGCGGTGGCTGGGCAACCGGCTGCCGTGCAACGTGTCGCGGGTTCGATTCCCGCACGGAACAACACTTTGTGTGATCCACAAATTGTTGTTTCGGGTCTGGGTGTCATTGTGTATGTGAACTTGTATGTTTGTAAATGCACCCACGACACAGGAGAAAATCCTAATGTGGGGCAACGTTTTATTAAAAAAAAAAAAAAAATAATAACAACATAACATAACATCACGCTTTTTATCCATGAAGCAGGCAGAGGCGCATAATAGGGGGTGAGCCTATTGCCATATACCGGGCACAATTCCAGACTCCGTGCTACTACTGAGAAGTTTTTAAAAACCCAGTAATACTTTGTCTGACCCGGGAATCGAACCCGAGACCCCTTGACCGGCAGTCGCACTTGCGACCACTCGGCCAACGAGGCAGTCTATAATCTATAATCTTTTATAATAACATACAATAAAATATGTACAGCTCATCATCTCATCATGTATTTTATTACGACTCATTTTCCTTCATTCCCTTGAACTTTAAAAGGTCAGAAATACGTACCTTCAAGTTAATAACAGTAACTACTAGTGTAGAAGTAATTTATAATCCTTAAATAGTTTCAAAAATGGAGTTTTAAACTTCTATTTGTCAATTTCAAATTCTAGAAATGAAAGGTTAGTAGTAGTTAGTATTAATCAAGAATTTCTGTCTGAGTACTTAGGGAGTGTCTCTTTGGTGTCACTTGGATTAGGTATTATAGTATGGATGTATGTCTGTTAAACGGATGGGTCTCGGGTGTCGCCCACAATCTACTCAGCGATGTTGTGACAGCTACAATGGGTATTCATTAATCAACTTTTCCAATTTCCAACGAATCTATCTCTGTTATCAATAAGTTTAGGGAAAATCCTCTTCAACGGAATTCTAATGAAGATTGTTTGGTTTCTCGTGTATTAATGTTAACATGAAATTGTCTGTGTGTGTGTTTACAACTATGTGTTGTGGTAGTAAATCATTTATAATTAACTAGCTTTTACCCGCGGCTTCGCTCGCGTCACAAAAGGATAAAAAGTAGCCTATGTGACATATACCAATACACACAGCGCCATCTATACCAATACTTTTGTTTTCCCTCGGGAATGTCAAATTTTTTCGGTATAAAAAGTACCCTATTATTTAATCCGGACTTCTAACTTTACGTCTGCAAAAAATCAAAGCAATCGGTTTAGTAGTTACGGCGTGAAAGTGGAACAAACAAACAAACAAACTCACTTTCCGATTTATAATATAAGTAAGGATTTGAAAGACAATAATTTGTAAGACAATAAAAGTCACGACAAACAATGAATGAGAAGAAATAAACTTTAAATTACAGGAAATTTTATAAATGTTAAATACAGCATTTTTAGTGATTTTGAAGCTGTACTGCGTTCGCCCCAGGTCAACTAGCTACGCATACGTAATATAACACACACATCGATATTAAATATACAAAACTGCATAAAAATGTAAGCCTTTAATAAATATCACTCGACTTTATTGAACACATAAAAATATCAATTTACTAATTGGATGAAGCTACGGTCGGCTTGCTTGCAGCGATGGCACGCGGGCTAATTCTAAATACTAAATGGTTTCGAAACTATGTGAAATGTAACTTGTTGTTACAGAAACAAAATGTCGTATCTACATCCATTCACGCCTCTGTCTCATACTAGAAGAAGTACTTGTCTAGAAAAAAATCTCCTACTATGATACTTACGTGCTTCTTAAGCTTCCATGACATTCACGCATCTGGTCATACCGATAGAAAATTCTGCGTCCAGCCTTTTTCTTATAAATCCTAATAAAAATATTATTTTCTGAGCAAAAAATTTATTATTATTCAGACCACGACTTGCAAACGTATTCTATTACTATCCTTTTATATTTATTGAGAAAATAATACCTATTTATTGGTGAAATGTAATGGGAAGTGAATTGAAAGATGTACTTGTTATATAATACCTAAGAAGCGTGTACTTGTTCCGCGTCAAACGACGCTCCGTCACGCGTATATGTACAATTTCCACGCACTATTGTCATTGTGTAGTCGACCATAAAAGTAGTTTTACTTATAATATTACACTCATAGTAACTCAAACATTTAATAAGGTCGAAAATAGCATAAGTCGATTCTTCATGCTTCATCGTCGTCTTCATTAGTCGGAAGGTTTCATTGCTAAAGAAAGACCTCGTCATGATCTTCACCATAATTGCAAGCTGGGTGTAGGGATTACGGTTAGGTTACTGAAAAATTTGAGGATTTTCTTTAGTGAATGTTAACAGTTTTAGAGAATACCTAGTTATTAGTTATTAACGTCCTTTAAAAGGACAACAATAGTATGTCTTTGGATGGTTTTTGCATTTTTGTGTGCATTAAAATGTTAGTAAAAAACCGGCCTGAAAAATTTATAGTCGACTATACATCGTCCTACGATTACTTGCCTTGTTCTTACGTATGTACATATGTTATTTGAAGCGTACTTTATGTCAAATTTACTTACGTGAATACGTGAGACGATCTGGAGTTTAATGTCAACCATTATTTTCATATCGTGTGACAGAAAACTAACACCCAATGATCAATTTGTAAAGATCTTTTATATTATAAAAGCCGTTTACCGTCCGTTATGATTGAAATATATTAAGTTAAATATCTTAATAAATGTGTACCTATATTGAATTTTAGTAACATAACTTTAGTCTTAAAGCCTAAAACCGGCCTTGAATAACTCGTATAAAAACAATATTAAATACGTTTGTAAAGTGAAAATTATAAACCAACAGAATACGGATATAATCCATTGTTCCAATGTACCCATTGAATGTGTATTTGATTGAATATATAGGATTGGCATAAATTGGATTGAGAATTTTATTGAAATGCCCTGTGGTATTTGCCTATCGGTGTTTACTGGCTACATATACAAAGGTGGTATCTAAATTACACAAACGAAAACCTAAATTTAAATCACATTGTTTCTGATGATTAATTGAAAACGTTATGATATTTGGATATTTGTGCGAGTAAGATTATTATTGGTTTCAGAAATTATGTCCGTAGGAAGTCGTAACTTTGATATTCATAGAGAATGAAGTTTTTGATTTGATTCTCTGAAGTATTTCCAAGTTTTGAGCTCGAAATTTGAACTATACTGTAGGCGCATATGTTTTACGTATCACATATCTGTTTTTCTCCACAAAAAGACCAAGTTATGACGTAAGACGAAGTGATACAACTCGACTTGTAACCTTTTGTCTTATAAATGAAAAAATAAGCAACAAACTATTTAGTAATTTTCCTTGAACAAGAAAAATAAGCTTGTCAGCTGTGTCCCCTAAGTTTGTATTGACGCAATATAGTGACATCACTTGGTAGCGTATCTTGCGGTGATTCGTATCAGTAGCCGCACTCATTGAGCGTCAAGTGCGGTTATTAAGTGTTGAGGGCACTCTAGATAATGGGATTGCCACAAAACGCATACATTCGTCATGACACACAATGAAATGTTATCTGACCTTCTTAATTTTATTGATTTCGCTACCGGCGTCAATTTGTTCGAGTACTTTATTGAAACTATCGATACACCTACGACCTCTCGAACGCACCGATACTCTACTTACTTAAAACCTATGACTGTAAAGCTCTGTATAAATATTGATAAGAGCAGAGCCGTTTTTGTTAATTGAAATAAAAATAATAATGATAAATGCATATATAGGTCTATCAATGACATAGCTACTACTGAAGTTTTTGAAAGATAATGTTTAGGCAAACTTATTCTAAATGTTCTGGAGTAAGTATTATTATAATTGACTGATCTGAACGGTACCCTACTAAAGCCAAGATTCTTGTGCCTAGCGGCCCCTTAACCATCAAACCTAGACGGCTAATAGCGTGCAGTATTCACGTATAAAACCTCAATCAATAGATATTAGTGAAAATTATACTTTCGATAAAAACCCTCGTGCCAGCTGCCGGCGCCATATAATAACTGGTTTCAGAAAAAACCGATTGATATATTGCCAGTACGTTTGTTCTAATAGTAAGGTACAATGTAAAATGATCTAAATTGATGCTTTATGATGTAATTAGATCCCGTTGATAAAGTACCACTTTTTAAAAGAAAAATACATTATTTATTATTTGTATCTCCATTTTATTTTGTCGTCTTTCTTTCGTATTTGAGAATAAATAATACCTTTTTTGTTTTTTTTCTTTAGTTTATGAATTCAAGGCCGAAAATTAATTTTACATTAATCGATTCTGTAGCTGTAAGCTCAGTATCTGTGCGACGCGGTCATGTTCAATTACGAAGCTCAAATATTTGAAATCGATTTTAATAATTAATAAGGAATTTTATTGGCAAAATAATTACTCGTGGAAACTATTAATAGCTAGAAGATAAGATTTGTAATTTTAATGAACATGACACGTGCTAGTACGGGTGAAGGATCTTAATTTTCAGTTTTAGGTTAGGCGAAAATTAACAGAAACTTGCGTATCACAGTTAGGATA